TTTTTTTTTTTTTTCGAGTGGTTGACTTTTTTTGACATGTTCTGACTTTTGTTTTTTTTTTTTTAATTTGGCTTGCTTTTGATTGACATTTTTTGACTTTTGTCGCCTATTTTTTGTACTTTTTATTGACTCTTTTTTGACTTTTTCGAGCTGTGGTCTATGGTTGATTTTTGTTTGACGTGTTTTTGATTTTTTTTGGACGTTTCAATTTGACTTTATTTTTTTGACTTTGACTTTTCCAGTTGATTTTTTGTTTTTTTCACTTTTTTTTATCAAGGATTCTGGCCTTACCAAATGAAAGCTTTTTTTGTTTTATAGTTATAGATTGTGGAGAACTTATATACACCAATCTTATGTGTTATTCAACATACTGCTAAGTGTTTCCATCATGCTCAATTGCCTCAACATGTCCTAAGCCCAAACAGGTCTCCATGTTTCATCAGGATCGCTGTCCACTCCTTTGGCAAGTGTTGCTGGCCGTTGGTCGCAAAAATCAGTCCATCCCTGGACACCGGTCACCACAGGTCGAAACGGGATGAGCGTAGGATTCAGCAAACAGGATTCACAGGTGTGAAGGATTCAGGTGACAGCTGTGAAGGGTTCAGAGTTCTCCAGGTCGGTGGTCTGATCGGATTACATGCACAGTGAGGGAAGAAAAAAGCTCAACACCTGAGAGGTGCCAATCAACAAGCCTTCCAATATCTTCAAGTATTACGCGGGTGTCCAAACTTGCATGTATTTTTTGTTTTTAAATCAGGACTGCTGAGCTGAAAACCTTCAACAAACCCTCTGGCTGGGTCCAGAATGAAACCTTCTGTATCCAGGTTGGAATCAAAATACCTAAGTTTGTGACGAAAACCCTGGGCTTACTGTTGAGAACCCGTACAGAACTCCTGCTTAAATTGTATTTTTGACCTACAGAACTTGTATGTTGGCACTGTTTTCGGAAAACCTGGTATACCCTGGTGCTGTTTGTTTTGGTGCGGACCCTACAAAATTGTAGGGACTTTTAGGGTATGCAAGCAAAAAACATAAATAAATATATATATATATATACACCGTAATTATGTAATACATGGAGTGTGTGGGATTGACTCGTTGAACTTGAGGAAGGACACAAAGGCTTCATTTCGGAAAACGTACTTTAGACTTCAAAATCACGCCCACACTGATCAACCCACGGTCTTTGCAGCGCCTTGGGTTTCTATGTAACTATACTGTACTGACAACATGTTTTTTTGTTTTGCTCCGCCAAGTTTGTCACTTGGCTCTGGGCAATTACCCTGGTGTCATGGCACCCCAGAACTGCCAAGAAAATACAATGATGTTGTTCGATGTTCAATATGGGAACCAGTCCAACGATCTTGAAACCATTTGAAACCATAATGACCACTTGCCTTGGTGAGCTGAACCATGATTCTCTGGTGCTTTGCGTTCATGTCCGCCAGTCACCCAGTCACTTCAGGAAAAGCCAGGAAGGCGCCTCGCTCGGTGCATTTCCGTTCAGTTGCAGAGACACTGTGGCTCGCGAAAAAGATCCAGCGAGAGAGTGCTTCAAGACAGGATGCGGTTTGGTGGCCAGTTTGGTGTCGAGAGAGTGAAATGGGTGCCTCCCTCACCATGAAACTCTTGCAATACCTCATGATCCTCCACTTGGTTTGACTGACTCCACATGGTGTTCCAGTGATGACCAACGATCGCATCGTCCACGGATCGATGCGATACTGGACTGTTCTGGACTGTTCTGCCCAGGAGTTTCAATGGTTTAAAAATAATTTGTTCAGAGGAGACCCCAAAGCACCGCGGGCGAGGATTCTATATTACGTTTACAATTATTTTAGGGCAACAAGAAGCTACTAGGGGCTCCTGGCATCGCTACTAGGAACAAGGACGCTACTAGTAGGGGCTCCTGGCCATACTACTAGGAGCAAGAAGCAACAAGTAACAAGTCGATCTGATCCACTCTAAGTCTAAACCGATCTGCCTCACCGTGCAGGAGCGTGGATGTTGTCCATCGAGGTCTCACTCGGCAGTGCACAGATCGACCAGGTTTGCGCGCAGCGCTTGCGGCGCTAAGAGCTGAGCAGGGCTCGGTGGTGCGGTCATGGCTTTGGAATTGACTTCAAAAAAGACACGGTCATGGCTGGGAGTTGATTCAGTTGTCCTTTTGAACCTGACACTCGAGGTCCACGAATCAACTCCAAGTTTTTTTCATGTGTCCACCACTTGAAGCTTAAAAATCACAAATATCAGCGCAAATTGTAGTTCAGTCACACAGCTCGCCCTGTGTGTCACGTGTCTATATACGCGTGTTATGGTTTTTGGTTTTGGCACGCCCGGTCATGACGCTGTCACACGGGCTGCCAGCTCAAGCACCAACTCAGGAAACGTCGGTCGGTCTTCCGGCTTGTAGGCCAGGCCTGGGTCTGAGCCGAGGCTTAGCTTCGGCGACGGATCACCACGGATCACCCGAGACTTGGGTTGAACATGGCCTAAGTCTCAAACTAAGTAACCAACAGGGCAAGGGGAGAAACATATTGAACATGTTCTGCAACAGTCGATTCCAGCAATTCAACTGTCGTTGCCAAATGTATAGAGATGCTGCCTCCTGGAAACTATAGAGACTGATATGATATTTATATTGTCGTGAGTTGCTAATTGCAAGTCCTCCTAAAACAGCAATAGAAACATGATGCAACAAGAATCCGGCACAATATATCTGAATTCAAAGGAACAGGTAGCACCCTTTCTGTTGGAAAGCAGTGCCAACGGCGAAACGCGTCCTGCGATGAGTTTTTGTCAGGATTTCATCAGCCTTCCTATTGTTCAGCCCACGAAGATCAAAGGAGGAACAACAAATGTCGACTTCAATCGTCGACGTCTTCAGGAACAAAGCCGCACAAAGCCTCAAGCTGTCTCAGACATGAAGAACAGCAGCCCAAGGTGTTGCAGTCTTTGTAGACTTTGAGGATGCCAAACTGCATGATACTGCATGTAACTAGGTACTCCTTTTTCTCTTTGTATATATATATATATAATATACTACCTGGACGAATCATTTGACATCAACATACGTAGGATGAGTCCTGGAAATCAGCCAAATGAGTCATAAATCATGTGGCACTGCGGCACTGCCGCGTGGGACGCTCCAGGTTGACCGGCATGCAGGTGGGTGACACCGGCCCCAACCCCCGACCGTTGGCTCCGGGCTCCGATGGTTCCAAGAGACATGTTTTCATCAAGGTGGCGAATTCCCCGGCACCCTCGGCCCATTTCCTCGGAACTGCCGAGGCTTGGCACAGCTGACGAACTTTGACAGAGATGCTCTGGGTCCAAGCCCAACATGCACAGATGGATGAGAAAACACCATGTTGTTGTGCTGTGCTCAGTGTCGTTGGATGATAGGCTATAGACACCACCATGGTGTCGGCAATCCACCCGTCTGAAGCACCGCAATTTGTTGCACAGAAACACAACAATTACATTAGCATGAATCAGAGTATAAATTACATTGTGTATGTCAGAGTATACCAAAGATTGACCTCCTAAGGACTGGAAGGACGCTATGGGCAATACTATGGGCAATATAGGGCAAGTGCGTTCCTCTACCAGCTTGGGTGTGGAGCTCCCAAAAATGAGACCTCGAAATTCTCAAACTGGGTGACCTCATGATGGACCCACTAAAAAGAAACACAACGCTTGAGCGCCTTTACCAGAGCCCTTCTTTGGTTGATTTCAAGTGACGCCATGTCAATGCCCGTGTGCTTTGGGCAGGTTGAGGCCAAGTCACGGCTTTTGCCCGCGAAAGACGGAGATAACAATCTGGGCCGGGTTCTTGCCTCGGCTCCATAACCCGTGGCGGGTGAGGCCGGTCACGTCGGTGACCAGTAACAAGGGCATTGCTACTAGTAGCTATTTCCTACTAGTAGTACTGGTCTTGTTTCTAGTAGCGATGCACTTTCTACTGGTAGCAAGAAGCTACGAACGTAGCTAAGGGCCGAAAGCGATCCTTTTCGGCCGCCGAGCTTCCCTGATAGCATTGCTTGCCATAGTAAGCCTCCCAAGCGAGGATCCCGAAGGCCCACACATCAGCCTCACGGGAGCGGAGAGGGACGGTGGAAGGCAACTTCTCGAGAAGAGAACATCTATTTGTCTCACATGTCCCAGTCTTTTTGTCCTCGGCCTCGGATGTCCTACCTTTTCCACTTCAAGACTTTAAGAATCTTTAAGAACCAAACTCCTACTGAGAACCTCGTGCAAGTGCTGCTGCACAGGTCTGTCCATGCCAATGGTCCGTTCGAAGGAAAACATGTTAACACTACTAACGAACCATTATATACTCTGCTCCTTTGGTTTTAATTTCTGCTGTTTCAAGAGAAACAAACTGATATAATTTCACCAATGACTCACTGACCAAAGCTGAGGAAAGGCTTCCCTTTGCCCATCTTTGTGTATGTACATGTGTATATATATATATATATGTATGTTATATGACTAATAAAACGTATTCAGAACAAGAAACCCACTCCTTGGACTGCGTGGTCTACAGATGTTTGCACAACTTGACGACGGCCCTGTCTTCATATCTCAACGACGGAACGGCTGGGGACGAGCTGTGCCGCCTTTGGGAGGAGCTCTCCGCCATCGGGGTCCATGACTTCGGGTGGCATGTGGGTGATCCTTGGCGCATCCGGTCGCCGGTCGGCTGTCAGCGCCGGCTGTCAGCGCCAATTGGCACATGATGTTTATTGATTGTTCTGTGTTCTGGGACACTAGAAATATCATTGACGATTCACTATGTATTTCTCACATGAAGGTGTTGCGGAAATACAATGCCAAAAGCTTGTTTATCATTAGTTTGATCAAACAAGCAGGTAACAATTCAGCAACCAAACCGACCCAAAACAGGTTTCTCAAGCAATCAACACTTACTTACAGTGGTCCCTACTGTATGTGTTGAAATGGTGACAATATTTATTTGAAGGTCAGTCCTTTTGTATCCTTTTGTATCAAACGGCCGGCGAACGCCCGCACCGAAAGAACAGTGGCGAGAAGACGAACCAACGCCAAGCCTGCATCGGCCTACCGCCCAAGAGTTCAGTTGCTGGGGTAGTGTAAGAACCCTGCAAAAAATCCTGGAAGGCAATGGTACTACTGGTTTCGCTGCGATGTGATGGCCATCCCACAAACTCAACATGCAGCTCCAGTCCACCTCAAAGTGACATGGTCACCTGATATTGCCTCGTGGCTAAAGCCCGGTCCAACCTTTCTCCAGCAGCTTGCTTTGTAAAAAAGAGCATCTCTTCGGGTGATCCTCCACAAATGTTTAACCTGATATTGTCTTCCCTACTAATGTGTGTTCACAATGCTGGCACTAACCAATTCGGGGCGTTTACGGTTGTCAATTGTTGGTGGAGCAGTCCCAACAACTTCCTGCAGTTTCTCTGGAAAAACAGCCACTATCCTTTTGCAGCCGTTTCTGAAAATTCTCAAACGCTAGAGTAACAAATAACGAAAAAGAGAGCAACGTCTCACCCTGCATCTGGCAAGTCACGTGCCAATATCGGTTGCTGGCAAACTCTTCGCACCTCACAACAAAGGCGGGCAAATCCAAACCCATGAGCAGCGGCTCTTGTACATCACAGGGACAGTTCAAGTGTTCAAAAGAATGTGTAAGAGAACTTGGAAAAAGGTGTTTTCATGGCTTTGTCTTTGAACTCATAAAAGCATCCAAAAAGAAACTTGTAGATACTGCGTGGATATGGCAAAAGGCCGGGGTGGGTCACGGACCACCTCGACCCGTTGACCAGGGGTGCGGCTTCTCACCCATAGTCAGCTGAAGAGTGAAAAAGGTGGTACTTGTTACTACTAGCTTCTTGTTACTACTAGTAAGGCACCTGTTACTACTAGCGTGGCACTTGTTACTACTACATGAAAAAATAATTTCATGTTCACGACCCAATCACTTCACTGACACTTAGACAGAATACCCATAGCGATGCGCGCACGAACAACTGATGCCTCAGAACTTGGTGTTTGAATGGGTGACGTACGTGCCAAATGGTTTTTACATTGCTGGCCGCATATTTCGCAGTCTGCCTATTTCCCATTTGAGCGGCGGCATTTATTTGCTACTATAACGCAAATACTTTCTAATATATTATCTAATATGTGGGGGGCCCTATCTCGTTTAGACTACTTTAGTAGCAGATTACACAATCTCGTGCAGACTACTTTACAAGAGAGTATCTCTGTGGGGCCCTATCTCATTCACCAGCGAACCAGCGTTGGACAAACAATAGAGCATGCCGTAAACTACTTTAGTCAAGACCAAATAAAAGTGGTTGCAAATTTGATCTCATTTGGATCTTTCTCGGCTTTGAGAGAAAACCGTACTTACAAAAGGTTTCACTCCTTTTTTCCACCTACTACAACCCACACGCCCCTTCTTGCGCTTCTTGTGAACCTCATAGCCGAGGGATTGCTGTGAGTGTGGTTAGTGATGCTTGTGATGCGGGCTGAGGCCGAGGTCGTAAAAACACACAAGCCAAGCCGAAAGAAGAACAGCCAACAATTAGATTCAATAAGTAAGAAATGATGCAGAAGAGAAAAGCCAAGGCAAACAAAAGCAAAAAGAACAAACCAACAAGCTTATGTTTCGACGCCATTGTGGGTGCACACACCTCTTTAGGAGACGGGATAGAACGGCAGGTATCCCACAAAATATCCTGAAGTAGTGGTCATCGATTTTTGCCACCAGGTGCAACCCTGCGGAGTTCCCCTCCCCGGACAGCCTAGGGAGTAT